GTATTGACCTTTTTGTTTCCCTGATTATCGCTAAGAAGCCGAATAGGAATGGGCGACCGTCTTCTCCGGGAGGCATATCTGCTGTAATTATTTCTTGTTGGACTTCGTGACGGGACTCGGGACGTTGGTTTAGGTGAATTTCTGGCTTAATTATCAGATTCTCGATTTTTTAGAAATGGTCACAAAATTTGGACCTGATTATATAAAAATGCTCTATCGTCACGGTTGCCACGCTTTTCACTTCCGGAAATGTGGCAACCCTAACGTATGACGTCTATCATAAAACTGCCAACTGACGTCAGGATCCTCGACTTATGGCTTCTCAAATATTCTCGAACTGTCTACATTTTTCTTGACAAGGAATGACATTTCCAGACTATTCTATCTTCTCCTTTCACTCGTACTTTTACTTATAACGACCGTAGCACACTGTATGGTGAAGGGTGACATTGCACTTTTTTTTGTTTCCTATAACAGCCGCAAGCTACTGCAGGGTGCTGCGTGACTGACTTTCATCTACTTTCACATTTTTAATATTTTTATAAGAAATGAAGAAATATAAAATTGTGTGCATTTAAAATATCATCCTTTTTTCAAACATTGCGTTGGTACTACAAAACTATAATATACGTATGACTATAACCAAAAAATATGTTCACTATAGTAAACCTGATTTTCAGTTACAAAATTTATACACGAATAAACATATTTGCACCCACCACCCAGTGGCGTAACGTGGGTCACAGGCGAAGCTTTTCAGGGACACCCAAAGTTCTGTGAGAGGAGCCAAAGGTGCATCTAAGTCGGCCTCTCCCGACTTCCATTCGGTACGCCACTGCGCACCACCGTCATCAAATTTGATTGTCAAAAAAACCATAGGTAGATAGATAGATAGATAGATACTTTATTGTTTTAAAATATAAAATTTTATAAACAAAGTCTAAGTTCTTATAGTACTAATAGGTATTTACACAATTTAAAATTAAAATAAGAATATAAAATTAGGTATTTACACAATTTAAAATTAAAATATAAAAATGTAATTAAAATAAAATAAAATTGGTAAATATTACAGTACACATAAAATTTTAGTTAAAATTATCATTATAAAATTCTTCAATAGAATAATAAGTTTTTTTTAGCATAATTTTTTTCACACTTCCATAGAATACTTTATAATTTGTAATTTTTCTTATTGCCAAGGGTAAATGATTAAACATTTTTCTTCCGTTGTATATAATAGAGTTCCTTATTAATGCGGATGATGGGATCGGTAGATAAAGGTAGTACGATTGTCTTGTATTGTATGTTGAAGTTATAATTATTTCTTCCTTAAACTTTTTATGAATAAGAGCTACCGTCTCTAATATAAACAGGCTGGCTACTGTTAAAATTTTATATTTATAAAATAAGGGTTTACAAGAAGCATAATTATTAAGTTTACACATGTACCTCAGGGCCCGCTTTTGCATAATAAAGACTCTATTAAATAGCTCGTCAGAACATGCACCCCACAAACAAATGCCATACCTCAAATGGGATTCTATCAGCGCAAAATATACGTTTCTTGCAGCCTGCAAACTTAAACTGTATGAATATATCTAGAATTGAACCCATTCAGTATTCTCAAGACTCTTTTTTTTTGTATCACAGGCACCGTAATTATGAGAACCACTCCAGAAGATGATTCAGTAATACATAAAGAAAAGACTAAGGTGTATTATCTATATCAAAGCAAAAATTACTGTAAACAAAACTAGAATAAAGATATATAATTCTTGGCATTCTATATTATACTCTTCACGGTTTAACAGACCCCTTAATTCCCATTTTCAATCAGATTTTTGTCAGAATCAATAAGCTTCATCCTCTTAAAATGCTTGATTTTTCCTGAAGATTTCAATTTGATATCGTTTTTTGTTTCCGAGTCAGGATTTTTTTAATATTTCAACATCCATTAACCACCCCATTTTTATTCAGAATATTTTCGGAATCAATAGGCTTCATTCCCTTAAAGAGCTTGATTTTTACTAAATATTTCATGTTGATATCGCTTTTGGTTTTCGATTTGTATGTTTTTTTTTTAATTTCTACCCCCCTTAAATCCCGCATTTTTATTCAGATTTTTTCAAAATCAACGTGCTTCTTTTTATAGAGATTGATTTTTGCTAAAATTTTCAATTTGATATCATTGTTCGTTCTTGACTTATCGTGCGGACATAAAACGTGACATCGGACGGAAGTAAACCTATGATACTCTTCACAGACTACTGTGTGAAAAGTCACATACTTCGATTACTATACGGTGCAAGAGAGATGTCCGACACGCCCAACATAGGGCGCGGCCATTTCGATTCCTATGCCACAGTTTATAGCTAAAGAATCAGATCGCTCACTCTGCGTCGGCACTTTTGATCTCAATGTTCCAGTTTATACACTGCGCAACTCGGATAATACAATATATGACAACCGTCTATAATAAAACAGCAGTGTTCTGCGTATCCTGAATTTGTATCCCTGGAGTGAATGTTATTTTGGAACTTTCAACTGGTCCGAGTGAGCTAACTGATTCTTTAGCAATAAACTGTGACTCCAAAAATAATATTCACTGACAGCAGCAAGCAAAATATCAGGTGCGTTTTAATCATCCGCTTCTGCTTCCGGAATTGTCGGTTTAGTCGTTTTAACCTGTCAGATTAAAACAAGAAAACCGACAATTCCGAAGCAGAAGCGGATGATTAAAACGTACCTATTAAAAATATTGCGCCTAGATGTAGGCAACACATAATAAGGGATCAAAATGGCGGAGTTTTCTATCTCCTTTTAAAAGGCACTCGGAAAGCTGCGCAGTGCGACCATTCTCCGTATAGTAAAAGAAAATCAAAGTATGTGGTGAAAAGTATAATATTGTGACAATGTAAAATTCTATATCTTTATTTAAATTTCATATATTTGACACTACACGAACTGTCAGTATGCAATATTAGGGTATGGTCCAATATTAACTGACTACTAACCGCAAGTAACCAGGATTTTTTGTCAGCGGTTCCTAAAAAAAACTAATAGTATGAGAGCCCACTGCAAATTTCGACCGTCATCTGATAACGAAATTTAATATGCTCCAAAAGCATGTAACAACATTGTACTTTACCAAATTGAACCTGTGCCAATCCCTATCCTGAGCAAAGTGGTTAAAAAAAATTATTTTATATTCTAAAAATCAAATAAAACATGACAGCGACAATTATGTTTTCCCTGAAAATTACAATCCTAATTCATTGCGAATCTCGCTTTTAAACCTGAATTATTAATATTTTTACCTACCTTTTAAACCATGTTCATGTATGTATGGAAGAAGGATGGTATTGTATAAACCATTTGCAGAGATAGTCAATAATATTTATAAACTCTTGTTAGACAATTATTTTAAACCATAATCATAGTAGTTTTTTTGTCGTTTCTATGGCAACCTGTAAAAATGAATCACAACAATAGGCATACAAATAAATTTTTAAATCAGCAAACAGTGATTCATATTTTTAATGATATTTACCTACTAATCGTGGATAGATGTTTTTGTGCGATGTTAAGAGGAAGAAAATATTTCCCTTTAACGATATATATCAAGATATATTTGAATGTTATTTTCTGGAAAACTTTAAGGGCAAACGAAATTAGAGCTGTCATGCCTTATGTGATTTTTTTAAGCTACTTTGCTCAGGATAGGGATTGGCACAGGTGCCATTTGGTAAAGTACAATGTTTTTCCATGCTTTTGGGGTATATTTCATTTCGTTATCAGATGACGGTAAAAATTTGCAGTGGGCTCTTGGGCTATAATTTCTTGGTTACATTTAGATCACGGCCGAGATGTACGTCACTTTTGTGACAGATTGACATTCGACTTAATAGTAACCGTAAAAATATAGCGGTTAGTGAATTGACTGACGTTTAAGTCACCATTTTCAGGTAACCGCGTCCCTAATTTAACCGGTTTTTCAGGAATGTCAAGCAGTACGGTTAGTTTTAGACCGAGTAACCGATATTTCGGTTAATACCCTAAATATTTATCCATAATATTCGCTTCCGGTAATTTTCTTTTAATTGGTCTTTTTAAATATTTGCTCTATCAGGACATTTTCTAAACTTCCTACCTTAATCAGATTCATTCTCGCCAATACTGCAATATGTCACATACTTAATTTTGTTAAAATTTCTAATTCTTGCATAAGTTGTAAGTAGTTCCTTAAAATTATACGAAGCTACATAGATGGTGGAAAACCGTGATAAAAAATCTGATTAATTAGTTAATTAAGTTATCGATCTAGTCTTGTTGGGAAATTATGAAAAAAAAAATAGTATTTTAATAATTACAATTACATCGTTAATTAAAATGTTTCACTTCAAACTTATGTACGTATGGGCACCGCCAGAATTTTATGGTAAAAATTTGTAAATCTAGTCTTTAAAAGACGACGCTATTTGAATACTATTCTAATTATTATCGTTTAAACTTAGCCCCAATAATTGATCGACACATTCACTGATTTTTTGGCAAACTTGGAAGGGACTTCTCACTTTATAGATACATGATACTCAGTTAAGTTTTTTATGATGGTGGGTGAGGTTTTCCGGGTTTTCCTCACCTGTAAGTCAAATGGCACCATCAATCATCTTTAAGTCGCCCCGGAGCGCCACGGCAAATAATAATAATAGCCGTCCCTTCCCCTACACAAGTCGTTCAGTCGACTTCAGGGGTTGAAATTCACTCGTAAGGGGGTGAATTAGGGAGAGTATTATTATTATTATTATTATTATTATTATTATTATTATTATTATTATTATTATTATTATATGTTGTAGTACTCGACCTTTTAAACTAAAAAGTCCACGGGCCCAACTACATCCTCTCTGGCTAGTTTTTGAAATGCAGTGTTGAAATTAAGCAGCGCCTATTCATATGTGTCAATTTTAGAATTATTTTTGAATAAATAATTTTAGGAGCGATTTATGGAACTACAGGAGGCCGTCCGATGGACAGAAATGCTGCGTGCATCGAAAAGTGATACCCCTTTTGAGAAAAACAGCAATAAAGGTATATGGAGGTTTTTTAGTAATCTCTTTACCGGAAACGAAAGGGTACAGCGACCAATGGTGGTACCACATTTAAGGTATCAAGCGACGACTAATCAGGTGACACCTGGCATAAAGGCTCTACCCAGGATTGGACATCAAGATCTTATCGAAACTGAATTGGGTACGGAATTATGATTAGATTCATAGTAGTATATTTTGTACCTGCTGTCAATTTTTGTCTGTGATATTGTATGTTCTGAGAACGTACTGAAATAAGTTCTTTTCTTTTTAATTAAAATTCATAACACTGAAGCCATTATGGGAAGATTTGTGGATGCAAGGGAAAAATAAATACACATATAAAACATGTTTGACGAATAGTCTGAAACAAAAGTGAAAAGCAATTTTATTTTTATGAAAAAAATTAAATTCAGAATTAATTTTACGATTATACTTTCTAAAAACGTTTTAAGTTTCTATTTAGCTGGTCTATCACCGATACACTAGTCGTTTTAATAAAATTAGGTTAATTCTTGCAAGTACCTGATCTAATATAAATGTAGTCGTCACCAAATAATCACCCATAATAACTTCTATACGATATGTGATAACAGCAAGCCATTCTGGGGGAAAAGGCGTTCTCTGCCATATTTAAGAAAGGCGAACTGACACTATGTTCTGAGGGAAGGAATTAAAGTAGATGTGAATGTCACAAATCTAGGTTGAAATGTTGTGCTATGTGTCGATAATGTTGTATCCATGATAATAACTCATTAATAACAAGTATTACTGTTATTTCTCTGAAATAGGATTTTTCTTTATGTTTTTAAGAATCATATTTTTGTTAAAATTTAGTTTAATCGATCCTAGTCAATAAAAAATGCATCTTTGCTCTGCAGTTACTTATGTCTATTTCTAGTAAATATGAGCTTTTTGCAATATGATGGCATATGTGTCAGTATTGATAAGATTTATTTCAATAATGTTATGTTTTTTATTATCATTAATATGAATGAATAACCTGTTAACACACCCAATAGATGGGCGATAGTTTTAAACCTAAAGTTTTTAATATTAAATTTGGAATTGAAAGTAATGTCTCCATTGCTAAACTTAGATGGTTTTTAATTACTTTTAAGTAAATTAAATTGAATTAGGTCTATAATTCTTATTGTAATAGGTGTGTAACCAATTAAATCCACAATCTTCTATGATGGTTACAATTTGAAACTCATCGTAATGTGTAAAAATAACATTTCAACAACGAGAAAATTTACAAACCTGGTCTGAACAGAACTAGACAAAATTGTGTTCGCAATTTTAACCCATGAAGTGTTCATAACATAACAAAGTTTAGATTGTTAGTGTTCACCTATTATCGAAAGACACACACTAAAAATATGTGTAGCACATTATCAAGTTATTATTGCGGCCAGTATAAATGGTATCATTTTATTCTATTGGCTTTTTCAGAGTTATTCACAATAGTTATTTATTATACAAGGGAAAAAATCTAATATTTTTCCTGTTTACCTATAATACACTATTTTTTCTCTGACGGGAAAAACGACGATTTAATAGCGAAAAAATATTCTAAAATATGTACCTTTATATATATCTTAACTTTTTTCCCGGGAAATGGGGAAAAAAGTACTCGTAATTTCATAAAAAGTGACATTTTGTTTCATGACAAGATAGATAAAATGTCAAACTTTTTTCCCGTCACAGACAAAACCCCTTTGTTAAAGTAGAATTTAAAAATATAATACCGAGTTTGACTACAGTAATTGTCAGATCAGAAAGCAAATATACATTTTTCTGACTAACCATTAAAAGTCGGTGTCGGTGTCCACTAAAAAGTTCAAGGGCCTGTATCTCATTTATTATTGAGTTATAGCAAAAATGTTATTTTTAAGTAATTAAATTTGAGACCACTTTTAAATTACACTATATGTGAGAATTTTTTTTTAATTTCCAGACAATTTATTCTTTCCTAGTGTTCACTTTCCCAAGGTACAAATTTGTTGAATAATGGCTTCTATGGAAGAAATTCCTTAATTATTTTTTTTTACTAATTATTTAAAATAAAGTTTAAAATAATTGTTTTTTAAGGATCACAAAAAATTACATGTCTCAAATGGGCCTGTCTGTTGTATAATACTTAAATAAGTTTTATACTACAGATCGACCAAATTAATAGGAGACATTAAATTCAATAATGGTTGTTGCGTTAATGTTCAAAGTTTTTTCACCAGGTAAAAGTGCCAAAGTTAGAACTTAGGTAGCAAGTAGTATTTTATTATACAGTGAGCACCATAAGTCTTACCCCCCCCTATCTAACTCGTTACTGGAGTCTTGTTAGGAAAATAGCCGAGACAGGTCGATTTTTGATTTCTACAATGTACATTTTTGTATGAATAGTTTACCCTTAATTTCATCCCTTACTGGAGGGGAGCAACCCTTTCTAAAAATTTAAATGGCATGGGGTGGTGAGTGATAGCTCATTTGAAAGAGGGTTTTATTCTCTATTCAACCGTGTAAAAAAATTTGAAATTTGCTTCATTAATTCTCGACTAATTGTTGTTTCAGAATAACGGAAATTAACGTAGCGCACTCACCCTTAGAATTAAAATTCGGCCCTGCATGACTTCGGTTTTGGTTCAGACGTGAAGTAAGACTTTTTGCCATTAGAAGGTCACTGTTAGTCTAGTTGCTTTCCTATTTTGTGAGGTTTTGTTATTTTTAAACAATAATAAATCAACATGTAATGATGCAAATTTCAAATTTTTTTTGCACGGTTGAATAGAGAATAAAACCCCCTTTCAAATGAGCTATCACTCACCACCCCAAGCCATTTAAATTTTTCGAAAGGGTTTTTACCCTCCAGTAAGGGATGAAATTAAGGGTTAACTAATCATGCAAAAATGTACATTGTAGAAATTAAAAATCGACCTGTCTCGGCGATTTTCCTAACAAGACCCCAGTAACGAGTTAGTTAGGGGGGGTAAGACTTAAGATGCTCACTGTATATTTTCAATATATAATTTTTGTTTTTTAACAAAAAGCATTTTATGAGCAAAATTAAATAACAATTAAAGAGGTGTTTTTACATTTTCAATAGAATTTGACACGTTAATACACATTTTAACAATATTTTCTATGGATTGTCTATTTTTACAATAATATTTATCAATTAAGTAGTTCAAAAAGTAAAAAGAAACGCCACATTCTTTTTACTTTTTAATTGACAGGAATATTTTATTTTGTGTCAATTAGCTAAAAGTGTTTTATAATATTTATTGAAAATTGATTAAAGTTGTAGTAGAAGAACCCACTGCAAATTTCGGCCGGTATCTAATTACGAAATGTAATATACTCCAAAGACATGTAACAACATTAGTCGTTTTCTTTTTACAGGTATATTTGACTAACTAAAAGTTAGATTCTGATCTGAGCTAAGTTGCAAAAAGAACGCGTTGGCATATGACGATGGGACACGTCGTTTAAAAACAATCAACATTTTTATCAAATTTTATAATTTCTTCAACATTCAACACTACGATCTTGCCCCCTGTATCATAGTCTTCTTCTCTCTCTGAAATAATGAATTCATAGGATATGTTTGTTCGTATGATGCACAGAACACTCACTTTCTGTTATGGTTTATGGTTGACGTCAAGATCCGTGTGCCTTAGCGTCGGTTAGGGGGAAGAAATATTCTGACTTGCAATCACAAAAAGAACGTACAACTAAGCTTAGTCGATGTAAGTTAGCTCAGATTAGTGATACTTTATCAAACGGCACTTGTGCCAATCACTATCCTGAGTAAAGTGGTTAAAAAATATTTATTATTAAAAAAATCACATAAGACATGACGGCAATAATTTTGTTAATTGGATAAACCATTTGTACAGGTAGTCAATAATAATAATTATAAACTCTTGTTAGGCAATTCTTTTAAACAATAAACATACTCAATAAATATTTGAATATGTAATTTCTGGAAAACTGTCAGGACAAACAAAATTATCGTATTCATTCTATATAAAATAATTTTTTAACTACTTTGCTCAGAATAGTGATAGGCACAGGTGCCGTTTGGTCTAGTACAATGTTTTTACATGCCTTTGGGGCATATTTCATTTCGTTATCAGATGACGGCCTTAATTTGCAGTGGGCTCTTGGGCTATTACAAATCTGTCAATTATGAAATAAAAATATACGTGGAATTCATTGAGTGAGATAGTTTTTTAGATATTTAATTAATGAATATTGATATAAGCCAAACTGTCCATCTTTATAGGTATTAGAACAACGAATTTTTTCACTAATTACGAAGTTATTTATTAATATGTTTACAATTATTAATATATTAGCAATTATTAATATGTGAATCCCGTTAAGAGTAATGATCAAACTTCAATACAAGGAAATTCAGAACAGTTCTGCTAAATAGCCAATCCCAGTTTACTTTTTGTACAAATTATATGTCTATATGAAAGTTCGAATATTCTAAAAATATCAGTACTAGGCCCAGTTAAAACTTTGTTGGATTTCCTTTAAATATCGATTTATCAGCATTTTTCATTTATTAAATTTGTTTTGTATACTGAGGTTTGGTCAAATAATGGAATGAGGGAACAAATTTAACAAAACGAATATTTCAGTTTTCTTATGATACCATCCTACCTTTATGGATAAGAAGCAATGTGTGACAGGATGCATTGTCATGATGCAAAATTCGCTTATTCCTCAGTTTTTATACCCACATTTATCCGCAAAAATTTAGTACTTCCAATTGTTATTTCAAGTTCAAATAAATACCTTTAGGCATTCACAATTTTTTGCACATTAAACCAAGACGTTGGATTTAGATTCTAGTGCTATTTTGATCTTGATAAGCTGGGTGTTTTTCATTGGGACTTCTGAATTTTGTTCTTTAGATCATAAACATTCTAATTAATTATTTGGAGATGACCGGTTTTTTAACAAACCACTGGATTTGGTTGAGTTTGAAATTAACCAGTGGTGGAGTTGGCGGAATTTGTTTGTTAAAGTAGGTTTGACGACGTCACAATGAAATGAGAAGTACAGGGTTTGTGGCAGCGATTAACGAACATGTTGCAAAATAAACGGCTACTACTGAAACCATGAATCTTTCATAAAATAAAAAAATAAAACATCAAAATTTCAATTATTTAACTTATGTTCTTCTGTTTTTACATTCAACTTCACTTTCTTGGTGTAAAATGTACTCGTTATTATTTAAAAAAAGTTTCTGCGGCAGTATAAAAATTGAGATCTTGTATGTCACGTCAGTCATCTCCATAATGTTTTTCTAATAATTTGCAAACTTTGTTAACTTTTTCTTTTTTCAAACTTCTACCGACTAGCAAACTGATAAGATGATTAATTTTCTTTCATGAATTTTGTTTTTGAACAGAAAATTTTGATTTTAGATGGACTTGCCCTTTTTTTCATTAATTTTGTTTTTGAACAGAAAATTTTGATTTTAGATGGACTTGCCCTTTTTTTCATTAATTTTATTTCATACTAATTTTTTCCTTGAACAGAAGTATTCGTTTTTCCTTCAAACAATTTAAATTTAGGTTTTCGTAAAAAACATTGATTATATATATAATATTATAAATTGATTACACATTGAGTTTGATGAACATTCTCCAATCACTGAAATAATGTTATTTTATGTCCAGTAACTAGTATTGTTAAGTGTATGTATTTTTGTTTTAATTTTTATGAGTATGTAGGTATGAGGTGAATGTATGCTGTATTAGTAATTTTGAATACATATTTTATTTAATTCAGATCAAGTTAACCTATGTTACATTGTGTTGTCGCGCTCTTAATCATTTGTTTTAATGACAGTTAATAAAATTCTATACTATTATATTCTGTTCGATCGTCACCCCACCTGGTGCTATTTCCAGGCCTTGGGCCTACATCCATTCTTAGATTATGCGAGTTGATTGTTCCACTCTATACATCAGCATCAGGTCATCGGTGTACGGTGTCGTGTTGCATTGTTGCATCCCTCTGGTATATCTAGGGTACCGTTGTATAAGACGTTCCATAAGGTGGAACCTAATATAGACGCCTTGTGTTATTTATATAGACTGTTCGCCAATGGTCAAAGTTCTAGATGAGAAATCATTTCTGATTAAATTTCTCAGGTATTGGCTTCTGAGTTTGGCTAAAATATAGCTCCATGTCGCAGTGTTAAATGCATTTTTGATGTCTAAGAGAATTAGTACTGATCACTTTTTGTTGCTTCTTCTGATGGTTTTTAACTACATAACGCTTCTAAATCCGAATTGGGTATCCACTATACCATGAGCGTGTGATATTTCGGCCTCCAGCCGAGCCTTGACCATATGTTCTAACAACTTTCCACATATAAATCTTTATTTCACGTACCATTTCTGCTTTTTATATTCTTTTACTATAATGCTGGTTGACTTTTCCTTTTTCGTCCTTTGTTGGCGATTACTTTTCCACATTTTTTGTTAATTCATCCTTGATTTTCATTAAAACATCACAATTAAACACCACTCTACACACAATAGATGCCACACTAGATACGTGAAAGTAAATTGTGATTGCAGACACAAAAAAGCTATAATAGGGTAATTGATTCCGAGAATAGACCGGTTTTTTTTAGAGAAATGAAGTTGGCGCTTGACTCGTATCTCATATATTCTGTGAACTTGAAACATTTCTTTCACTTTTCTGATATATTGTTCTGTGTTTAAAATGAAGTGAGTCTAGCCACACTTGCTGATTTGACATTGACAAATTCCTTTCAGAACCACACAAACCATTTGTACTAGTCTTGACGGATGCTTTGAATTTCCTTCAAGCTTTAAACAAAAAATTTTACCAACACTAATAGCGGATTCGACTCAAATGCTCTTGCTCGATAACAAAGTGCTTTTAGTTCTGAATTGATTTTGGGTAGCATTTTTATAATTCAAATGTATATCTAGCAGTGCACACAGCAAGCACGAGCTAGAATTCGACATTGGTAGAGCATCTTTATCGTTATTCGACTGGCACAGTTAGCACTTGACATTTCAGGTTTCTAACAAAGTTTTAACGATATTTATTTACAGTTGTCAAAGCAAAAATTAAATTTCTATTAATTTCAAAGATTTTCCATTCTCACTAATAATAAAAACCAAGATGGTAATATATTTAAAAATATTAAATAATTCCTAACCTCCAAAATGACACTGGCACTGAAAAAAAGTACAGTTCCTAAAAATTCGAACTTTGAGCAAGAACGCCTGCCAGTCGAACAAAAATTTCACTATGCCTTAATACCGAGCAATTTGAGTCGAATACAATAATTGACTTTTAATTCATTAGATTCTGCCAGTCGAACAGACACCACTTAAAAAAGTCAACTAAATGCGCATTAATGCAGCCAGTCGAATCCGCTATAAATTAGAGAACTCATAATCAATTTGTCATTCTATGACTGAGGATTGCTATATTGTATTATAAGAAAAATAATAAGTATTTTTTCAACATTTATAAAATACAGCTTACATTCACCGTTTTATTTGGTCAGACCTCATATTTCAAGAATATTGAGTTATTTTTATGCACCTTTTGTGTTTGACTTTCATGACTTGTTAAAGTTGCATTAATTTTAATATAGCAGGGCAAAAAGTAGTTCTAAATCTTAACTATTTTTTTGTTATAAAATATATCATTTTATATTTGCTCAAGGGTTAATGCACATGAACACCATTCAGTTACGTAAATTTTATGTGTTAAAATGAAAAATGTTGCATAAAGTACTTGTACATACTAACATAATTTAAGTTCAGATTGAAGAGAAGTACCTTACAGATTCAATTTTCGAATACAAATTACCATTCTCTTCAAGTACTATTTAAAATTAACGCATATTATGAGACAAAAAATCTCTTTTATATTGATTTTTGACGATTTATTTTTTACTACCAGATATTTTCGGAAATTTATATAGTCTAAAGATTAGGTATATGCTGTGATATCACATACAATTACTATTTCTGATAGTTGTAGATTTTTAAAACAATAAGACTAAAAATAAGTCTAGTCTGACGTTACCATATGTAATTGTTTACACCCTACTTGTGATTGTTTATTATTCAATAAATTGTGTTATAAAGTTTATTTTGTTTTATTTTATTTTGTCACTGTCATTTAGGAACCCATGATTATATAATGGTATTCACAGAAAAGATTGACAGTAGTTACAAAATGTAAGTACTACTCGAAAAGTATCAGTTTGGGTAATACATTATTGTATTTTTAGGTTCGGATAAGCTGGCAATGCGGAAATCCTTGGAAAGAAGGGACCAGTACCGTCAAGTCAGAGCCCATGTCAAAAAAGAAGATGGAAGATTACAAGTAAGACATATTTATCATTAGTTATTTGAGGGTATTTTTATAGTTTTTTTATCATTACTCATGACAAATCGGTGGAAGTGAATCTGAGTTCATAGAACCCTCATATTTTCTTGGCTATACTGCCCAATAATTTTTTTAACTGGACACAAGTACTGCCTTATAAAACGAACAATGTCCTTAATATGATGGTGGGTGGGGTTTTCCGGGCTTTCCTCACCTGTAAGTCAAATGGCGCCATCAATCATCCTTAAGTCGCCCTGGTTATTATTAATATAGCTATATTATATACTGGGTGTGGGTGGCCGAATCACTTTCGGTTATACCTCAGGATCCTTGTATTAGGCATTCCAAACCAAAGAACTGTCGGTGGGAAGGGTTGGTATATATAAGGGGTTGCAACATATGATGTATCTACAACACGTGAAATCATGAATAATGGAATAAATTTAAATATTCTATGCCGAACACAATGAAAATATATTTTTTTTAAAAACTGCCTATTCTTAGAAGAATATGTTCCAACCCCTTAGATATACGAGCCATTCCCAGTGGCAGCTATTGCTTGATAGGTCGTTGGAATGCCTAATAGTACAAGTTCGCAAAGCTGTCTTGATAGTCCAGGATCCGTAAATAAAGTCGACCTTCACCCATTTGTTTACAGGATAAAAGTTTTTTTTTATTAGATAAAATATGTTTTTAAATATACCGCAAATGGGTTGCCTAAGAAAATACGGTCACGGCCATTTTTTGCTTTCCTTTCTGTGTACATATGAGGAAAGTATAGAAATCATGATACAAGTTGCTTATGATGTCATTCTCTATTATTTTGCTCCTATACATGATTTCCCTAAAATGGACCTAATTCGAGATATTTGAGGAAATGTGCAAATTTCGAATTTTGAAGGCAACTCAAAAACGGATAAAGAGAAAAACACCAAATTTTAAACTATCTTGTAGTCAGCTGATTAATGTTAGGCATAGTCGAAGCATCTGGGGAATACTTTACAGGGTGTCGTTTTTTATTTTAAGAAAATAAATAGTCTGGACCGTATTTTCTTAGGCAACCCTTTTGCGGTATATTTATAAACATATTTTTTTTTTTTTTAAAGAAACTTTCATCCATTAAACAGATGGGTCAAGGTCGACCTTACTTCGGTTCTTAGGCTATGAGGAAAACCTGGAAATTATTAGAAAATCGTAGGATGAGCTAGATGGCGTACCTGAACTCCAAAAAGTATATTGCTTATTTAATACAAAATTACTAAGTTAAGGTTTTTTTAAAAACATGAATATTTAAATTTCCAGAAAATTCCGCATATTTTTACCCTGAATAGTTTCTTTCTACATTTCATATAATAAGTGAAGAGAGTGGAAACCTTGATTTGAATAAACGCTTATCAACCCTGTTCTTCTTAACCGAATTATGTAAACTTGCTCTTGTTGAAAACAGGTTTTCTCCACTATTATAATAATTATAAATTCAAACCAATCTAATAGTAACATGCAAGCGAGTGAATCCGGGTTTTGGTAGTTTCTTTCTCTCTGGAGGAAAAATCTTAAGAAACGTGTAAATGATGTGCATTTTTTTCTAAATATCGTTTACTCTGGTTCGACTGAAAAGAATTTAACAATTTTGGGCTTGTTAGAAATTTCTTCCTTTACTACCTTTCTATTCGTTCATTACAAAAGTTGACCACTGTGAGGAAAAATAAGCGCAACTGATCCACAATAATATGCAGCGCGACTGTATCTCTAAATGTGAATGTGCGTACAGACCATAGACTGGCATAGACATCATATTATCTATTTTTGGTACAGGCACCTTCCCGATATCGCAAGAGCAAGAGTACATTAATTTCATTCATGACGTTTCACGTTTTCATTTTCATTGGCTAGACAAAAATGGACGATGGTCCTTGCCGCTCATCGCAGCGTTGCCGTTAGTACGAAAATGTCTTTAATTTATTAAGTTTTTAGAATTCCGGGATTTTTTTAAGTCCCGGCAAAGGTAAAACTTTCTGATTCCTGGTTAATCCCGGCCAATCCGGGACAGTTGGGAACACTAGTGCAAGCTGAGGTCGGATATAGTAGAGCCATGGGGCTTACACCCAATCCCCCTTTTTTAGGGACCCCAAGAGTAACCTTAAAATAAAAATTAAAAATGTTAGAAACATGCAAGTACATAATGTTTTCCTGAAATTTTTAATAATAATTATGGTTGAATTTCGACCACTGGGCGAACACTAGAAAAATACAGAAAAATAATATTTTCGGGAGAAAACTAGATTTCTAAAAAAAATAGCGCCCTCTAGCATGTACTGCACGTAACTTATTGGATTGATTCAAATTTGTAAGTATTACCTCAAGTATTACATTGGTGGAGAAGAGTTGTTTTCAACACGACTAAGTTTGTAAAATTCGGTTAAGCAGATGACAAGGTAAAAGGAAATCATTTTAAGAAAAAAAAGTGTAATTTTACGGAACTTTCAATTTTTATATTTTTAAAAAACCTTAACTTTTGTATAAAATAAGTATTTTACTTTTTGGTGTTCATTTACGCCATCTAGCGGTCATCCTAAGTTTCTTTAAATAATTTCTAGGATTTTCCTATGCCCACTTTAGTCATTAAAATGTTTCCCCAAAGCTCTACTATTCGCTCCGTGCGAAGTCATGGAAAGGGAAGCAAAAGCGATACTAGCGCTAGCTGCGGATAATTCGTGCATTTTAGGGGGATATTTTGTAATTTTGGCATATCAACTACACGTATACATTTTACTTTTTTTAAAAAAAGTAGGTAAAAACAACACAATAAGCAACCGGAGTTGCTGTGTTAAAAATTGTACAAATACTAGCAAAAAAAAAACAGTGAAACTTATATAACAAATTTCACTAACAAAGTGGAAATTAAATCAAAGAAATAAATGGATAGGTGTACAATAAGAAGAAAAATTACCTTTATTTTTGTGATAATAACAGTAATGCTGGAAATAGTAGACATCAGAAACTAGAAAGTTTTTAAATAAACAATAAATTATCATTTTACGATGTTCTTTAATATCCATTTATTCTTAAATGTTCATTCAGCAAGGACTAGATTTCAAGATTTCTGCCGTTGATTATAATATTTGGCTGGTATGCAATTTTGTGACTTACTGATCGGAAACCAGTTTTAATCATTCATTCTATGTTTTCTTTAGAACAAAAATGAAAATATAAAGAGCGATCCTTTTTATACATTTTAACTTCACGCTATTATAAATGGTTTCTTCAATGACAACTTATTAGACTTAGGCAACTTCTCATACATTTTCCAGTAAATACTGTTGCCTGCCTATGTTTTATTATTGATTTTTAATGATTATACATAATTTTCTTCAATTTAAGCGTGAAAAATATATAATAATAATAAATTAATGTTTTAATTGTTTTATAAATCCATATACTTTTATTAAAACTAACATATATACTTTTTATTTACGAATTCTATTAAAAATTGTATTTGTCAGTATAGGCAGAAATACTCCTTTAATACCAAAACAAATTGGCGCTGCTGTCGCGCACGGAGCGAATAAACGGGTCCTGAGATATGGCCGCCCAAGTAAATGTTTCATTTTGTAAAGAATAGGTCTAAACATTTGGGATCATACAACCGTATTTAAACAAGTCCCATCAAATATAAACCTGCACCACAGTTTATAGCTAAAGAATCAGTTAGCTCACTCGGACCTATTGGATGTTCCAAAATAACATCCACTCCAAAGATACAAATTCAGGATGCACAGAAGACTGCTGTTTGAATATAGGCGGTTGTCATATATTGTATTAAACATTTCAAACAAATGAACTGCCAGTGGAAAGATTTGATATATCCAAGGGTTGCGACATACGATGTATTCTGTTTACAATACGTAAAATCATGAATAATGGATTACATTTAAATATTTTATGTCAAACACAATAAAAATAATAATAAAAATAAAATACATTTTTTCATAAATTGACAGGCTTGGTGACTATTATTTCGAATAAAATAAGCGTTCAAGATGCAAGACTATGTCTCTTACCCACCAGACCTTCTCATTGATAGCTATTGTTTGACAGGTCGTTGGAATGCCTAATTGGTTATAGTAAGAGAGCAAACTGCAAATTACGACCGCCATCTGATAACAAAATTAAATATGCTCCATTGTACTTTACCAAATTGCACTTGTGACAATCTCTAATCCTAAGCAAATTGGTTAAAAAAAAATAATTTAAATTCAAAAAATCACAAGATATGACAGCGATAATTGATTTTCCCTGAAAATTACAATCCTAATTCATTGTGAACCTAGCTTTTAAACCTGAATTATTAATATTTTTACCTACCTTTTGCAGAGATAGTCAATAATAATTGAATACATGCCCCGAACAAGGTTGTAATTATCAAAAAACAAATTTTACAAAAAACCTTTTTGGAACAACAAAACTCTTGATGTAACAACTTTGTTCTGGACGAGGCAACCTTTGTAAACTAAAATAATCTTTAATAATATTCATTTTAAGGTAAGTTATAATATAAATCACACTATATCGTTGCTGGAAACATTGCTCCATGCTTAGCACCCTTTCTGAAGTATTGTTTGTAATAACCTTATTCGGGGCTGATATTCAATTATAAACTCTTATTAGACAATTCTTTTAAACCATAATCATAGTAGTCTTTTTTGTCGTTTCTATGGCAACCTGTAAAAATGAATCACAACAATAGGCATACAAATACATTTTTGAATTAGCAAAAATTGATTAATATTTTTAATGATTTTTACCTACTAATCTCGTGTAGATGTTTTTGTGCGATGTTAAGAGGAAGCAAATGTTTCCCGTTAACGATATATATCAAGATTTCAAGATATATTTGAATATGTTATTATCTGGAAAACTTTAAGGGCAAACAAAAATAGCGCCGTCATGCCTTATGTGATTTTTTTAATATATTTTTTTTTTTAGCCACTTTGCTCAGGATTGGGATTGGCACAGGTAAAGCGCAATGTTTTTACAAGCTTTTGGGGTATATTTTATTTCATTATCAGATGGCGGTAAAATTTTGCAGTGGGCTCTTAGGCTATTATGATTTGATTCTGTATACGCCAGGGATACAAATTCGAGTTGCGCAATGTATAAACTGGAACATTGAGATCAAAAGTGCCGACGCAGAGTGAGCGAACTGATTCTTTAGCTACAAACTGTGCCTGAACGTCATTATATAATGTACCTTGTACAGTGAACTATAAGATTTAGCAAGAGCACTTATAGCTAAGATTTAGCAAGAACACATATAGCTTGGATATGATGGGTCTTAGAGGAAGTAGATGTTAGTATCCGCACTCATTTATGATGTTAACCTAAACATAATAGTTTTTGGTTTGAACCGCCAAATACAAAATAGGCTTCACTAATTGATAATTACTGCAAATAAATTTTGTTTCACTATTTCAGTTAATTTTTTTTTATTTCTTGGCTGATTATTACGTTATTGATCGTATCACTTTATTGACTTAGTTGTGTTTTTTAAAGGCTTATGGATGGAGTTTGCCTGGTAAAGTTTCATCTTCAAGTCCTGCAGGCAGACAAAGTAGTGGAGGAGTACCGGTACCAGTACCGGTTTACTGCCGTCCATTAGCTGAAACTACGCGCAATATGAGAATTTGGTGTGCTGCTGGGGTCAATCAATTAGGAGGTTACACCAAAGATGGAGGCTTAATGGTAAGAAATAAATTTGTTTTCTTGTAGGTTACAATCTTTAAATATTAATTGCCTGTTTGTTATTGTTTAAAAATAGTACATTATAAATTCCTTTATCAGGTTGGTGGAAGTGTATTCTATTCTGAAGAACCAAATTCACCTTCTCCAAAGCCTCAAACTGAAATGGAAACACTAGATCAAGAATTGAATTTTGGAAAAGAAGGTGCTCTTCTCGAAACTCGACTCTCTTCTTACGTTTGGATATGTACTACTACCACAGTTTTTGGTAATACTCAAGTCTCATAATTTCATTATTGATATTCTTCCCATTATTGGGATTTATTCTTTATTATGAGAGATTACTGTAGATAATCTTATAAGTGTCTTGTTTATTTTATTTATCTCTATTTTCTTTTTTTTTTCTCATATTCTCCTCCTTCGTCTCTATCCCAACCGTTACCAAGACTTGAAGGATTAGGATGCACTTCAAAGGCCATCGACTATGATATACCTACCTAAAGCTTAACATAATTGTGACATCACATACTTTGATTACTATACGAGGCAAGAGAGAGGTCCGACACGCCCAACATAGGGCGCGGCCATTTTGAACCCTGTGACACAGTTTACAGCTAAAGAATCAGATCGCTCACTCTGCGTCGGCACTTTTGATCTCAATGTTTCAGTTTATACACTGTGCAACTCGGATAATACAGTATATGACAACCGCCTATAATAAAACAGCAGTCTTCTGCGTATCCTGAATTTGTATCCCTGGAGTGGATGTTATTTTGGAACTTTCAACTGGTCCGAGTGAGCTAACTGATTCTTTAGCAATAAACTGTGACTTCAAAAATAATATTCACTGACACTGACAGCAGCAAGCAAAATATCAGGTGCGTTTTAATCATCCGCTTCTGCTTCCGGAATTGTCGGTTTAGTCGTTTTAACCTGTCAGATTAAAACAAGAAAACAGACAATTCCGAAGCAGAAGCGGATGATTAAAACGCACCTATTAAAAATATTGCGCCAAGATGTAGGCAACACGTAATAAGGGTTCAAAATGGCGGAGTTTTCTATCTCCTTTTAAAAGGCACTCAGAAAGCTGCGCAGTGCGACCATTCTCCGTATAGTAAAAGAAAATTAAAGTATGTGTGTGACATCAATTCCTGACATTGACACTTGACTAACATCAAATTAAATCGACCCTCAGAGCTAGGATATACAGACGGAGCATGAGAGAGACATACTTATACGTATTTAATGTTAAGCGATGTTGCAAACATATCGTCGAATTTCAGATGGTTTGTTTTTACAAGGACTCGGTTCATAAACGTAGAAAATTTCCAGTGGTGTAGTTTTATTGGGAAAACGAAAACAATAATTGGTTATTTATATTAAAATGAAATTTCAGATTGTTTAATTGTTCGAGGTATATACTTTACAGGTTTACGCTTTTATTAATAAAAATCAGATGAAAAAATACTTATTTTTATCAAACACTTTGATTTATTTCTTATAATTTGATTGTTTATACAAGTGAAATGAAATTCCTTCGCCTTTTCGAAATTGTTTATGGTAGACTGTACAGGACTTCATGTTCACAAACAGTTAATGTTAATGTAACAAATATTATTCTAAACACACTACACAAATGTATTCTACAAACTATAAATCATTAACTAAACAATATAACAAAAGTGTATTTTATGCATAGCTAAAAATAAACACTATTTATAACACAACACAAATAAATCAATTCATAATCAGAAGATTCGCCAGAACCAATCAAGCATCATAATAATGACTAATAAGCTTGTTTTGGGTTTTGGTTATTTGGCAAATCAGTTCTGAATTATCAAATTTCACTCGATCAGCTAATAGATTGTTATAACATCTCGACGTGTTTTTAAAAAAATAATTGGTCAATTATTATTGTATTTGAGAATTGGATTTGATGGTTCTGTTTTCTGTTTGAATCACTGATTTTGAACCCAACTTTGCTGACCGTTGCCAGACTTAAAAATAATCAAATTTTAGAAATTTACACCTAAAAATGACATTGTTAATGTAAAAAATGTAATTTTAAACTTTGCTTAGTAATTTAAACTTCGTTTAACACAACGTCGAAATCGGCCATTAAAGTCTTTTTATACAATATAATTACTCTATTAATTAATTTATAAAACAGTAATGTGTTTAAAATAAAAATTAATTATTTTAATAAACAAAAGCTTTGAGTACTAAAAAATCTAAATTTATACTACTTAAAATTGGCAATATTGTTTTCGGATGATTGTTGTTAGTCCTAACGTAAACATTTACGTTTTATGTTTGTTACAACTTCTCTCTCTCTCTGATGCTACCTCTATAGTTCCTAGATCTGTGAATCTACCTAAAAGTCGTTAACTAAAATGACATGAAAGTTAAAACTAATGGTAAAATTATGCGGGGATCACGATATCGCCACATCGGCTATGGGCATAAACTTATTTTTTCTAAGCCAATCAACTTGGTTGCTGGGGACCGTAGGGGGAGCAAAGCTATGCCAGAAAGAGTGAAAAAAAGTTGGTGAATCTGTCTCTGTTCCCTAAAAACTTTAAAATCTCTGGCCTACCTAACTTTCTTCCATCTTCCTATCATTAGCCAGAGGACAGTACTTTAAATTACTGAACTTGTAAAAGTGACTAATTATTTAATAAAATTTCTTCGCTTAGGTAATACCTCCCAATGCGCAAGTTTAGTCACTATCATTGATGCAAATAACCCCGCGGAACTTCTTAACAGTTTCGGGGTATGTTCCGGCCATGTAATGTGTATCTCGAGCGTACCAGGTGCTAGTTTGAGCGATTACGAAGATGCCGCTCCCAGAATCGAATATAATAGCGAAATTATAAATAAATGTGATCCTGAAAATGTTAATGCCGTCCAATCGGATGGCCCTAACGAAGAAAAGAAAGAAAGCCATGAGAAGGAAGTTGATGGCAATCCTAGCGGCGATAAAAATGAAGATAGTAGTAGTAGTACAGAAGTAACAGGTAGTCCCGTGGTTGGTAACAAACAATCTACTAGGAATCATGAAGAAATGGAAGAGGCTGCATTGGTAAGTAAAACTCACTATTTTTAATTCTCTAAAAAATATTGTTTGTAAATTACATTTTTGGGGATAAATAAAAGTATATTTACATTAAGATAAATTGCTGTAGTCGGTTTGTAACAACACGTGCATAGTTAATTACTGTTTTTTAATATATAATAACAAACTAATAAGAATTGTTTAGTGAAAATTCATAAAATGGAGGTCTCTTGCCCTCCTGTAGATAAAAAACACGCAAGAAAGTGTGTTAGAAATGCCAAAAATTGGAAAGCAAATAAGAAGAAATGATTGAGATAAGCAACATTTTTTCCAGGACCGCAATTAGTAAATCTATATTGGCAATAAGAAACACATGTAAATTCATACATTAAATACATTCAAATGTAAAGATATGTCGTTTGTAGGGAAAAATGGAATTTCACTATACCCTATTTGTAACTTTTTTGTTTTTAAATTTTTTTTTTCTAATTTCCCAATAACCACATGAATAAAAGAAAAAAATAGGGTATGGTGAGATTCCATTTTTCACGAGCTTTTCAATGACCTACACACGACATGCCTTTGCATTTGAAAAAAAGTTGGGTAGGATTGCAGCTAAGGGGTTGAAGAAAAAAATTTCATTTTATTGGAAACAAATACGTCCAATGTAAAATCAATTCACGTGTTTCAGCGGTTTTTTTTTAAGTTACTGGTTAAACATTTAATAGTTTTATTCCGAACTTTCGCGCAACTCTGTATATATATATTTATTAATTTATTCATATACAGTATCGGCTATTTAAAATTTCTAATATGATTTGCTAGTGTCAAAGTGAAAACTACGGAGACTTCGCATTAGTTCGAGAAGAAAACGAATAATATCAACGTTGCCAACGGCCTGGCTGCGTTGGGATTGTGGGTATATCTGCCGTTGTGTGCCTATTCTTAATTCACACAGCATAGAGCACAGACAGACAGCACAATACACACAGACGATCAACGGTGCATACTCGAGAGTTATCCCCACGCAGCCAGGCGGCCGTTTACTGGCAACGTTGTTATTTTAGTTTCTTGCTTTCACTAATAAACTAATAATAAAAAAGTTTCTCATTTGTGGCCAACTTTAAGGGGCACATTCATAGGCGCCGCCACACGAGGACAAGCGCCCTGGATTTTCGATTTTTGATTTTTCGCTATGGCTTTCGTCTATAGCCTGTGGCATTTTAACTTGCCTATAAGACTTGCCCCCCAGCAAATTTTTGGTCGGCGCCCATGTACACATTGTTAATGCGCTAGTTCAGTGATGATGTAATTATGGTTCCACTGACAATTAAAGTGACAGTAGATTTTTTGAGTGCGTTTTGTTTACCTAAATTATATCGTTTTTTCACTTTTATAAATATATTCCTAAAGTAAGTAGATAACATGCATCAAATATACATTCGTTTAGTTACCAATTACATACCTTTAAACTATTTTTTATGACCTATAAACAATATTTAGAAATAAACTAAAAACAGTAAAAACGTATATGTCAAATTTATTGATGTTTTTGTTAAAAGTTTGGGTAGAATTAAATGTCAGTGGAACCAAAATGACATCACACTGAACTAGCGCATTGACAATATGAAAAACATTTGTTTTTATTTTCTGTTAATCACAGTATTAATTAGTGAGCAGAACTGTGTTTGTATTCAATACAGTCCTGGATGTTTTCACACCTCAGTTTACTATCATAAACAGCAATCTCCGTTCATGAACAAATCATATATAGCAAACTCCAACCTGAAATATCAAATACAGCAAACTCCAAAATATATACCCATTTTAAAATATTATTTTGACTGCAATTTACAGAAAATAATTTATTTATACACTTAAAAGCCAAAACAGTAATTTTATGTAACGTCCTAATATTTTTTAAATAGTTTTTGTTTTGTATTGGAAAATTTAGAAAAGTGGACTTTGTTACATTTGTTATTAGATGCCTGATATATAAATAATTCAGGATACTTTCTAATTATTATAATACCATCTAGGGCATAACGTAATATTTACAATCCCATTACACAACAAATTATAAAAATTAAAAACAAATATACACTCATTGAAATGGTAAAAAAAAAGAAATTCCATCTGGTGGACTGAAACGTGGCATCATTGAAATGAAAATTGTTATTGTTTTTAAATTAAATCATGAGAAATGTTATTAACTTTTCTTTAATACCGATTTATTTCAGCTTGGAAGAATTACATTTGTAGAAAAAGACGAATCAGTTGTAAATAGAAAAGATAAATGTACCAAACAAGAAAACTTTTGTGATAATAGTAATGATAAGTCAAACATAAATACTGCAACTTGTGATAATAACATTACCGAAGAGGGTTCACCAACTAAAGACAGCTCAAAAAATACTCAATCTACAGAAAGCGATAGTACTCAAAATGACGAAACTCAGACACAAGAGATTATGTCTAGTGTATTGGCCACCATGTGGATGGGTGACGAGAATGGAAATATATATGTCCATTCCTCTGTGGCTAATTGGGCGCAATGTCTGCATACTGTTAAAATGAAAGACGCAATTCTATCTATAGTGTAAGTAATTTTTTTAGTAATATTAGTAAGATATCAAAAATAACCCAGCAATTTATTTTCAATTACAGTATGAAGAAAATTAAAAATCTAAATTATATTTAGATCAATTTTAAATAATAAGTAAATTACTTATTTGTCAATCAAGACATTGCATATTGTTCCTAACTAACTTCTAATCAACAGAATAATAAAAAGTCACAATTTTTTTTAATAATTTACATTCATTTTAGATACAGTAAAAATAATTTAAGTACGTATCTGTCTTTTACGAAATTTGATTGCCCCGAACCAACCCATCGAATTTCGCTACACCTTCGCGTATGTGGTTTTCCACATTTTTGGTTATCGAATTTCGCTATACCTGAAACATTGAAATTTTCTGACGGAAAATATTAAATTTTCCTTCGCGGAAGTGGTTTTCTACATTTTCCAGCGGTGCCAACTTTTTTTTCAAGAGTAGATTTATTTGATTCTGGAAATTGCTTTCGTTTTGTGGAAATAGAAAAAAAATAGAAGACATAAAAGTTTACTTATACATCTCGACGTTCTTCAAAATTTGGCATCAAAATTTTCCCGGTACCTCAAACACATTTTATAGTAAAATTATGGGAATTATTGGGTAGAACGTTTTTCTGGGAAGAACTTTACTTAAAAGGGGAAATAAGATCAAAAAGACCTTAAGAATAATGATCCGACTGGATGAGACGTGTCGATGGCTGTACCTTATGACAGAGTTTTTACAATAGGGAGAGAGACTAGATTATTTCTAAACATCTGCTAACACGTAATGTTTCAGCAAAAGACTTATCATCTTATGTTTAGCACAACATTGTTTAGTAGGTGTTTATGTATTGTTCCTGAAAATACGATTTTTTCTATTCTCATTTTACAATATCGTGACCTGCTGAATTTTTTCCACTCATTTTTAGACACATTAATGGAAGGGTAATTGTAGCGCTCGCTTGTGGTCAAGTAGCAGTATTCAGGAGAAATCAAGACGGAGAATGGGATTTGTCTCGATATCACTTGGTGCAACTTGGTCTACCGCACCAAGCTGTTCGCCAGTTGGCTGTGGTAGGAGACAAAGTTTGGTGCGGATATCGAAATAAAATTCACGTGTTGCAACCACATGACTTAAAAATTGTGCACACATTAGAAGCACATCCAAGAAGAGAAAGCCCAGTAAGTTTCTAAATAACGAGTGATCCACAAAAAATGTTTATAAAGTAGGCCATGATTGACAAAGACAATAAAATGAGTCACGTCCGGTATAACTACTAACAAATCTGAATTAAATTCATAAAAAAAGAAGAATTGTATGCTCCGATAGGCGTGTTTTTTTTCTACTGCCTACTTTAGAAACATTTTTTTGGTGATAACATAATAGTCCAAGAGCCCGTGAGAGCCAGACCTTCGGAATTTTATAAAAGCTGAGAGTTCTTGTGTGTATGTCCCCAATACAGGTAAGAATGATCCCAGCCCATGAAACCTGAGTAGTGGTGGCTTTGGCAGGTAACAGGTAGCAAAGGTGCATAAAATTCCACCTCAAATTTATTAATTTATAAAACTCATTTTTTTTATATTTTATTCGTAATAATATTAAAACTCGCGTTGCTCATTGCCAGACACTTGATATGGTTACAACCCTCTGCCAGACACCCCTGAACTATTATAATTTGTAACTATACTTACGTTATATTATAAAAACTAAATTTTATACATATATTATTTGGACAACTATTAAATAATGTTTCCTTAATAGCCAGACAATTTCGAGGGTTATATCGTCCTGCCAGACGTATTAAATGTGTACAATAATTATGAGTGAGAGGAGCATATGCAGCCAAGGGTGTGAGTGAAATAGAGCGTGCAGTCTATTGCGCTAGTTCAGTGTGATGCCATTTTGGTTCTACTGACATTTAATTCTAACCAAACGTTTAACAAAAACATCAATAAATTTGACATATACGTTTTTACTGTTTTTATTTTATTTCAAAATATTGTTTACAGGTCATAAAAAATAGTTTAAAGGTACGTAATTGGTAACTAAACGATTGTATATTTGATACATGCTATCTACTTACTTCAGGAATATATTTTTAAAATTGAAAAAACGGTATAATTTAGGTAAACAAAACGAACAAAACGCACTCAAAAAATCTACTGTCACTGTAATTGTCAGTGGAACCATAATTACATCATGACTGAACTAGAGCATCGCGATCTTTTACTGCGCATCAGCTGCTCATTGTGTATTATGTAGTGCGCGGTTATGCTCATAGTAAACGTACATCAAACGTATATTAAACGTTGTATTATTTTTCTGTGTAATTTCTAACTCACAAAAAAATTATTCTTTCGTATAATAAACAATAAAATTTTCATGACTTTGAAATTTCAGTTGAATTGAATATAATAAACTTTATAAAATTTAAAAATAACATGAATTGAGTTACTAGATTTTTGATATGATTGATATTTTATTATAAAATTTTACGGAATATTATTTTAAAAATTTATTATTCAAACTGTAATAATTTTATTCAATGAAATTTCTCAAAAAATTAGAAAAAATATTACTAAATAATTCGGAATAAACAACAGTAGACGCGCAGTAGAAGATCGCAATAGACTGCACGCTCTATTTCACTCACACCCGTTGCTGCATATGCTCCTCTCACTCATAATTATTGTACACATTTAATACGTCTGGCAGGACGATATAACCCTCGAAATTGTCTGGCTATTAAGGAAACATTATTTAATAGTTGTCCAAATAATATATGTATAAAATTTAGCTATTATAATATAACGTAAGTATAGTTACAAATTATAATAGTTCAGGGGTGTCTGGCAGAGGGTTGTAACCATATCAAGTGTCTGGCAATGAGCAACGCGAGTTTTAATATTATTACGAATAAAATATAAAAAAATTGAGTTTTATAAATTAATAAATTTGAGGTGGAATTTTATGCACCTTTGCTACCTGTTACCTGCCAAAGCCACCACTACTCAGGTTTCATGGGCGGCGATCATTCTTACCTGTATTGGGGACATACACAGAAGAACTCTCAGCTTTTATAAAATTCCGAAGGTCTGGCTCTCACGGGCTCTTGCTCTATAACATGTTCATTAAGTTTTTAAATCTGGATGGTAACATTAAAAACTGTGAAGCATAAAAATAAATATTAGATAAATGTATCTCTCTCTTATTTTCTAATCGAATTAAGTATAATATTATATGCATATATTATGCTTCAGTATTATGTTTTTAAATTTCAGGTAAGACAAATGGCTTGGTTGGGAGAAGGAGTTTGGGTGTCGATTCGATTGGATTCAACACTTCGATTATATCATGCGCATACATATCAACATCTACAGGATGTTGATATTGAACCATATGTTAGTAAAATGTTAGGTAAGTAAAAATTTTGAATACATGTAAATAAAAATTAACCATCTATTAGCACGGAAGATATCAGAAAGGAGTTTATACAATATAAAATCATAATCCTTGTCTAATGCATACTATCAAAAAACACCGATTGTTTTAGATGTCCTACTACGTAGTATTTTTGTTCAAAGAAAAAAAAACATTCAACCCTTAAAACAAACTGTTTCGTGAAGAATGACCGGATATTTCATGCATTGTAAAATAGTGAATTCAAAAAATTTGGAATTTGTTGTCTTCTGCTACTATTTTTTAGTCAAATCTTTTTGATAAGTACCTAATTTGTAGTGTATAATTCTAACAGATTTGCGTGTTTTTTAACAGTTCCTTATTGTTAGAAGAATAATTATAACTATTACTAACTACTAAAATTACAGCCTCAGAGCTATTACTATTAGGACCAATTTCATAATTAAATTAAAAGAGGGTTCAATATTAAAAGGACACTTAAAATGTTATATCGATTTCATAATATAGATACAATACCCGTTTATTGCTCCTTTAGAAGCTTAAAGCCTGATTTAAACAATTTACATATGAGATTTCGACGACATTGCGCCGTTGCTGTTATTTGATTTGCAACAAAACATCCAAAATATACTATATTATGCAAACAATAAATTTCAAAATACAACTTAACTGAAGCACATTGACGACTGTGCTCTGAACTTTTATTTCTTAGGGGAAAAACCTTTTTCATCATAGAACACATACTATACTTGCAGAAAAAAAAATTTAAAATACATAGTGTAAACGCAATCATTAATAACTAGGTCATTTTGCACTTTCAAAGAAGAATATTAGAATAGTTAATAGGATTACCTTTTTCAAATCATTCAATGGGACATGTTCAAAAATTTTGAATTTTTTTTATGAATTATAGAGATGAAAATAGAGCTACATTTTTTTTTATCTATTCTTTTGCCAGAGTTATGAATTTTTTAAAATGTTTGACGTCACCGGGAATAGACCAATAGGAGCTAGCGCTACAACTTTGCCGGTCAGAAGGTTTACGAGAAGTGATGTACGTTCGTTTGTGTACTCCTTACTTTTAGACTTCTAAAACATCGTTAAACAAATATCTTATAAATATATAATATCAAATGTTTTTTGAAAGTATTGTTTCTGTTTAAACTTTTACCATATGAACGCCCATATGCACCGTTTTAAAATCTAATCCAGATTTGCAAATCTCGTTTAAATGGCTAGGGAATATTTTCTATGCACCGGCTACGGATTAGATAATCGAGTTTAGTAATCTGACAACACTGGAATTTTATAAATTTCACAAAAAAGAGAAGAAGAAAACGTCAGATTTGAGTAGGAAAAATGTTTGTCAGAGGATAAGAGGCCGTTGAAAATAGAAGCCCTATTTTTTAAATGTACCAAAACCGTAAACACGCCCTAAAACGCATACCGAATTCTACGCAGGGCAAAAAAAAATGTCAAATAATTTTATAAAAATAATTCTATAGTAAGATGGTATTACCATTATGTTAATTTTTGGTAATTTTAACATATATACTTTCAAGCTGCTGTATTTCAAGCTTTTTTATGCAAAAGATATACCTATGTGAATATTTTATTCCCTATACTGTGCATGTTCAAAACTAGATATGACATTATCAGTATTTAAAAGTGGACAAAATCAGATAAATATATGTACCTATTGCTTACTTTTTTTATATTTTTCAATGTATCCGAATTTGCCATCTAACTACAGAATTATGCTGTAACGTTAGAATATAAAAAAAACCTCTTAAAAATGACAAAGTTGCCCATCGTATAAAAATATTCACTTCTCTAGTAATTTTGTAAAGAATCTTTATCATCTTCCAAGAAAAGCTGGTATTCTATTTCCTATTTTTATTAAAATTCAATTAAAAGAAACACAAATAGAAAGTTCCAAATATACTGACAAAACATTGACATCTTTTTGACGTAAGAAAATCTCGATTAGATAAGTTGATCCACCGATGTCGACGGATTAGAATAAAATCGGATTAAGAATGATTTTTAATACGGTGCATCGCTAAAAATGGTACTAAACGCGATTAAACCCTTAATCTGGATTAAACGTGTACGGTGCATACGGGCGTTAAAGTTTCATTGTTTTAAGAAAATGGCAAAACGGCAGCACTGTATGTCATCTGTCATAGTGTCTCCATCAATAATTTATTTGGAATTTGAGTGTTTATTTTGTACTTTTTATAAATAAATATTATGACTACGAAAAAGTATTTTGTTCCAGAATGTGATAATGATTCACATTCATCTTCAAAAATATTTATTAGTGTTCCTAGAAATTTGGAAAGAAGAAAATCAACCTGCTACTAGCGATGTTTCTCGTCAACTTTTTAATAAAAATACACCGGATATTCAAGATGTAACAGCAATTTCTGCTAATTGTCTCCTTCAGGATATTCAAAATGAGGCTACTATAAATTCTTAGGTGTATAACCTAAAGTGGGTATTTAAACAAACTGGTTCCTGGATCCCATATAATGGCAGATAGGGGGTTTAAGAATATTCAGTCAATACTTAAAAACATGGGATGCACTTTAGTAAGGCCACCTAGTGTATCACAGAATAAAAAAAGTGCTCCAGAAGATGTACAATTAAGTAAAAGAATAGCATCTCTAAGAATACATGTGGAAGGGTTAGGGAATTTCACATGTTAAAACCACATTTCTGTGTGAATTTTAAGCAAGTACATTTACTTAGTATCTGCATAATTGCTTGTGGTATTGTTAACTTACAAGAACCTATTTTGTAAGAGTAAATATTAATTTAATAAACTTTTTTTATTTGTTTTTTAATTTAATTTACCTAATCACATTTCAGGAATTATAATGAAGAGTTTTTAAACAGCCAATGTAATTTTTTATAAAATTTTAACTTTTTGAGCAAATCAAAGCGGAATGAGTACCTGTATATGCATAGATTTGGGACCTATTTACACCTATTTACAGCATTTTAAAATGAAACATTTTAACAAAAACAACCAAGTTCAGTTGAATGTGGTAGCAAAGTCTATATAGTCCAATAAGTCGGGTAACTACATGTGGTATCAGTGGTGATAAATTTAAAAATATCACAATTCTTGCCACCTTTTTCAAAAAACCAGCAAGTGTGCCTTCTTATCAATCCTAGACGAAAATGACAACATTGATAAATGTGAAAAAAATATTTAATGTTGCTATTCCTTATTATGAGAGTAGAACATAAATCTAAGTAAAAACAACCAATGTCAAAGGGTTATAATTTTTTCTGTCAAACCAAATATAGCACAAAATTAAAAATTGATCATAGGTTAAGCTAAAGTAATACCTTTATTGATAGTAGCTTTAAAAAAGGAGAAAGAATAATATTAACCTTGTAATAAAAAACAAAAGTACTTAAATAAGAAAAATGAAGTAAAAAACTTTATTTACAAATAAAAAAAATAAATATACAAATCCTACTTTATTTACAAATAAAAAATATATATACAAATCCTAAGAATAACTAGCCATTAAACATTTGAAAGAGGTTTCTTTAACAATCTAGCCAAGTCTACATCAATATTTAGGCATTTTGATAATTAGACCCTTTCCAACAACACAGTAGATCTTGAAAGAGTAAAACCAAATTTGGTTTTACTCTCAAGATTAAATGGATTTTCATCAAGTGAAGGCCGAAACAATAAATAACACAGCAGATGTTACAGATGGTTCCTCACTTCTTCTATGAAGCCAGCAAAAAAGCTACAACATGTTTACAACCGCCTGAAAAAAATAAAAGGGTTAGATATGCAGTTACAAAATAACTATTTATATAACCAGCTACAAAATGCCTTATTTTATATAACAAGACGAGCAGAGCTTTACTAGCTCTGAATGAAGCCAGTAAAGCACCTCGGCATTTTAAAACTTTTTATAAAAACAATCTCACCAGATTTTCAGATTTTTGAAATATTATAGAGCTTTTCAAAAAAAAACTTATTTTTAAAAATACAAGTTTTTATTTTTTAAACAGCTATGTCTCATTTTAGGCTCTTGAGTAATATAAAATTAAAAATTAGGGGATGCTTTGTTAGCTTTAAACGAATCCATCAGAGCACTCCAGTTTTTTTTAACCACACCACGTTTTTAGGCTCCTACAATATTATAAAATATTCTGAAAAATTTGGCATTTTTAAAAAAATTCGCAATTCCTTGCTGACTTCAAAGTGTTTTTTCTGAAAACAAATATACTTACATTTTTAGGATTTTAAAATAGCCTAATCATGTGTCATAACTAGTTTTTAAATATAAAAAACAAATTAAAAAACTGAAGTGTCCTGCTGACTTTGTTCCAACAAAGCACCATGTATTTTTTTAAAATATCATTTTTTTTTTTTTTAAATTTATAATATTACAAGTGCATAAAAATATGCTGTTTTTACACAAAACACTTTTTAAAAACAGAGGTGCTCTGCTGACTTCGTTTGAAGCTATCAGAGCATTTTGATTTTTGCAGAAAACGAGGAGCATACAATTTTTGAAAGGGTATAAAAATAGTCTAAAAATATGGCATAGATTTTAACTCAAAATTTCGTAGATGCTCTGCAGCATCAAAATTATTACTAGGTTCACTAACAAAATCTATTTCTAGATCATTTTAACACTTGCTGGGATTACAATGTCATTTTATATGTCAAAATTAGAAAAAAATATTTATAGGAATAATGGGCCTATTGTTTATTATGTGATATAAAAACAATAGGCAGAAGGACTTCGGTCAATAGCCTATTGGACTGAATTTTCAGTTCAATAAATGACAATTATTATTATATAAAAACAAAAAAGCGTAATAAATATTACAAACCTTGAGATGCTTAGGATCATTGTGCACTAAAAATTTCATTTTTGTTAATTACAACAACCACATCATAAGGTTTTTGCCGTACTTTATCAGGTGTAATTTGTCCCTTTACTGTGCTCTGT